AGAGTTATATTTTTCAATTGCTTATTCTGTCTTTATGTTGCAGTTTAATGCAGACTCAATCTATCAATATAAACTATTTAAGATCTAATTATGAGATTAAATGATATGCTGACTATTGACTATTTAATAGTATGATCACAGCCTACTCCTTAACAATGCAATATTAATTGAGCAGGAATACAACATGCATTCCATTCAACAATACACTCAAACAGCTCACTTAACAGACTACGCGGGCAGTCAAGCCAAAGCCAACTGCCTCTGATCGGCCCTAAAAGACAGACAGATAATAGGCAGCGGTTGTTCACGCAGAAATTCTTCCCACAGTTCCATATTTAGGCAAAGTAAGACATCCATCTCTGGAGGGCTATTCTAGTCGAGGCCATAGGAGCAATGAGTCAGTGAATGCCCCGAGATCTGACAGCCAGCCGTCTGCTACTGGTTTTCCCTTTTCCTAAGCATATATCCAATCAGGTTGCAAAGTTACTGTGCAGTCCTCTCGCATGGTCTCAACCTCTAATAAGGTTGAATGATATTGGAGGCGAGCTTCACACATTAAGAGAGGTGAACTGAGCTTATCGCTCCTGTCAATGGTTGAAAATGCAGAGTGCCGGGGTTATTCTTTGAGGGAAGGAAAGGGTAGGAGTGAGGATGTGTTAACACATGACGGAGTACTTTAGCTGGATGAAAAAGACAGGAAAGGATCTGGCCTCATTATTTCTATACGGGAGAGAGATGTCGTCTAGAGCAGGAAAGGGCCTTAGAATGAGGTTACACTGGGCCCACAATGAGGGGTTGAGACAAGGAATGTGAATCATCGTCGCATTAGGAAACAGTGCATTAAAATTCAACAGCTCCGCTTTCAGTGAAAAAACTTAATATTATGATTGCAGCATCAAGATTTGTTTTGGTTTTCATGAGTGGCAATTTATTTATGCAGGAAGGTTGGTTGTCTCTTTGTGCAAAATACAAGGCTCTCTGACTCACCTTTACCTTGCTATAAATTACCAAAATAGAAGACTGAATTTCAGGAACTGCAAATTCTTTAGGAAAACGCTTTGTTAAAATGGTTCAGGGGAAATCAGCCCTTAGGTATGTGCCCACTGAACAGAATGAATTGCAGTGTTGAAGTTGGAAATGGAGACTTCTGTAACAAGATTTTACCCTGGTTTCAAAACTGATTATTTCCCTGCTTGTCTTAATATTCAAGTGTGTATATGTGTCTGTTATTGCCTGTCTGCAAAGGATCATGTTGTCTGCCGAGGTATATTTTCATTATGTCGAGGTTTGGATGTGCGCACTAGATGTTCAATATATGATCTCTCTTGTATAAATCACAGGCTGCTTCCATTACAGGGTCAGATATTGTTTTTGGAGCCATTCAAATCCAAGCCAAATATTTTGTTACATGAACTCCTCTAAATAAAGAAAGACAGCCATCGGTCAATCGAACAGAACCACTTAAATTGGACACCTATCGTAATATATATGCCCCCTGCTTTTTTCCCAAAAAATTGCTTATGGTTTTACTCAAGCATCATAACAAGTGAAATTAATCAGTGACCTAATTAAAGAAAGACCTTCTGTCAGCAGAATTCTTGATTGTTGCTTTTGCACATTATATTAATATCCTACACCTTCAAGTGCTTTGACAACATTGGTGTTGTGTGGGTGTCACCGCTTAACGTTACCCAAGGTGCTCTTTGACACACCTTGCACCTTGGTGTGATGTCTGACTAACATCATGTGGCTCTCTGCAGAAGCCATCTGAGCCTGTCAGAAAAGTAAACATTCACTGTAGCAGATGTAAGATCAGACTGAAAAGCACTAACAATGTTGAGGTTCCATTTCGTTTCTCCACTGTTTAAAACAAATAAACAACTTGTGAGCCCCCCTACAAGCACCAACTTTAGAAATTGCACATCATAGTACAAGATGTATTTAATATGGACGCTTCATTCTTCTCAAACTTTAAAAATAAATAATAATCAACCTGGCAAACAAATGCAAGTAACTGGAGGATCGATTACACACAAACAGATGCATGGATGACAAATGACTTAGTGATGTTCATCTCGTCCAAACATGATAATCTCCTTGGAGACAGGCGTGTGCTTTAACAGATGCTGCTAAAATGGCAGCCAAGCAAAACTATGTCCAATTTCACTAACACGGACATACAGATAACTGCATACACTGACCATTTCCCTACCTCAGGGGACCCACTTCTCTTACCTGCAACACTGACAGATGAGTCGACGTTATTGTCAACCACTCCTGTAGCGCTTGTATTCGCCCTTTATGTCACACTGAGCATAGGCTCTGAACAGAGTTTGCACACAATATATCAATCTGCTGATAGCCATTTGAATTTGGAGAGTAGTGATTCAAAAGGGCCAGCCACCCAAACAAACACACAGCAAATTACTGGTGAATGGTGCTTTGATTGCCAGATATGTGCATTTATTTTTGAAGCAGGCCACTTATGATAACTTGTAAAATCCTCATCAGACACAAAGAGGATTAGGCTATTTACCTTTTCAAAGTGGAGCCAGCTGATTACAAAGAGTACACTGCAATGTCAGTAAAGAGCTCTTTTTGGTTTAGGTCAAGACTGAAGAACTGTGCAACCTTCAGTAGTTTTCAGAGGCACATCAAGGTCATCTGCCACCCTGGATGCCTCTGCTGTAAATAAGAGCTACAGCTTTCACTCATGAATCCGCATGATTGACGTCTCCTGAGGGTGCACTAGCCTGCCGGATACTCATTTTATTCCTGAGTAGCTGGATTTACTCTGGATTTTAGACTGCGGCTGACAAACCAGCACAGTAGCCTAGACAATAAGCTAACTGCATTCCAATACACTCAAATGACAGCCATATAAAATAGGAGAAAAAACCCCGAGGAGGTGAGCAGAGTCTATCTGTCATCCATCATGCCGAGGCTTGTGATTTATCATTGCACCCTGCAGTGAGGCAGATGCACGCGGGCACAGAATAATAATTATGTGTATACCCCAGCCGAGGAGCCGTCATGGGATAATATGATTGCATTGATTCTTGTCCGGAGATGTAATAGGTAACGTTGCATATTACTTCGCCTTAGCCACATCCTAGCGACGCCCATCCAGCCACAAGTCGCCGGACCATTATCTGTACAAATACGCGAACTACATTACATGTTACCCCCCGTACATTAGGACCAGTTTCCGCGCCCCTTAAGTACAATAATCGAAGGCCACATTCCCATGGGCATCCGTGAGAACCAAACTCAGCGCTGCCGTATTGCTTTTCTAGCTAGTCACTGAGAGACACGGGTTGACATATAGAAAATAGATTTACCGACGTACACCAAGGATGTCTGCGAAAAATGTGTACAGGAATAAATATTGGATCCTTACCGTATCACCAGCCGAAGCAATATACGTGCATGTATACACATCCAGCGCAGAGTCAGGGAAAAGCTTTGCTGCGCTCTGTCATACAGTCCCAACAATCTTGGATAGAAATAAATCTTCCCGTCGATAAATAATTTCACTGATTGGCGCCTTGACTTCGGGTCTGTGGTTATTTCTTGCTGCTGCAACACAACGACGTGGGTAAATCTTGCCCAAAGAGGGGATGGAGATAACGCTGAGGGTGTAATAAACCAAAAGCTGCGTGCTTAGTATCCCGATCAGCGCTCACACAGGAGGAGGAATCGCGTCCGTCCAAACGCACTAAGTCCAGTGGAGTGCTGGAGGAGGACAGAGGCGTATCTCTCTCTCTCTCTCTCTCTCTCCCTCTCTATCAGTCTGTCTGTATCCCTTTCTCCCTCCCTCCCTTTCTCTCTCCTTATCTTCCTCTGCTGCCTTTATGTTCCCACTGACTTTAGCTGAAGTCCACAGGCGCAGAGCGCAGCGGAGCAGAGGATCGTGGTCAACACAGAGAGAGAGGGGTCAGAAATGACAAACCAATTTGGAGGAGCGGTGGATGCTCGGTTGATCGAGCTCAGCCCGTCGAAAGGAGCGTTACGTTGCGGGCGGGCGGGGAGCCGAGGGTGGATGGAGGGCTGGGGAGGGGGGTGATGATTCCTGCCTTGGGGATGCAGAGAGAGATAGGAAGAGAGAGAGAGAGGGAGAGCGAGGAAAAGAGGGAGAGATGAAGTGGGGTGTCTTGCGGAAAACATGGAACTGGATCTGGCTCCTAAATGTCTGGAGCGAGGGCTCCACCTGCCGTGTGAAACACACAGGGGTTCCCAAACTTTTCACGGCAGGAAGTTTTAGACAGAGCACATAGACCCACCAGTTGGTTAGAAGTTTGTTGTTTTTTTGTTTGTTTGTTTGTTTGTTTGTTTGTTTGTTTGTTTGTTTGTTTGTTTGTTTGTTTGTTTGACATGACCTGGGTATGATTGCATAATTGTTCCTCAGGATGACAACAATATGTAGGCATATTGGCATACAGTTCATTGTAACATTGTCAGCTAAATATAAATAAATAATGTACATTATAGGTTACTCTTGGCCTTCCGGAACCCATGTCTCATTATGGTCCCTGGATTCCGGTTTGGGGTTTCGAAAGCCATGAAAGGTGGACTATTATAATTCAGCCTAAAGCGGTTTGCCTGGTGTCTGCTGGGCAAACCTCACATTGGGACAATTAGCAGCAATGGAAATGTTAAAATAGAATAGCTTATCAAATTAAAATATCGTAATTGGAAATCAATATTTTTATTTAAACCTAGGCTATATGCGTAAATTATCCTAATTACAAATATATAAAAAAGTAAGGACTCATTAAAATTGCAACCTGTTGTTCGTGCTTCATGTAGGCAAATACATTACGAGTTTTTGTACTTCAATTTGTGGTGTAAATGTCATTTAAGCACCTATATAAAAGCAAAACCTTTTCTTAAGTAATGGTTTCGCAAGGGAGTTTTCGAGACAGCAATTGTGAGATTGGAGTCACCATAATATCTGTGAACATTGTTTGTGGAGTGTCTCAGTGAATGTATTACGGGATTACTGTGGCCAGTTCTCTTACTTTAGGGATGAGCCCTCTGGCTGAAGATCAGAGGGTGACATGCGCACTGCACGGAGCGCTCAAGCCCCGGACACAATTCTGGAAAATAAAGCGCGCATGTTGCTTCTTGATATCTTGCCGTCTCTGAAAAAGCTTTAATGACTTATCCCAACAGAAAAGTGTCATCCTCTTTATTCGGTATTGGTGGAGGAGGTGGATATGCTTTGAGCTCAGTGGGGACCTGTTGATAGCCCACCGGCGAAGCAATGGAGGTGAGAGGAGGCTTTCTGCGATAAGCAATTTTTAACTGTCCGTGATGTCCGTGTGTTCGTCACAGTGATAGGTCTAATGTGCCTGGGTCATCTTTAAATTAATTGCCACACGGCCTTGTTGATTACATATCACATTAGTAACTAATGCGTCTGCGTAATTACTGTAAATCATTCATCTGTAATGTGATTTTTGTATTTATACAGCAGTCAGTATCGCTTTAACATCAATGGTATAAGATACAGATTTAATTAGACTTGCCGTGAAGGGCATATAAGTACTGCGATACCTCTACTGCCTATCAATGCCCCTTAATTAGATTTCAGATGAGACGTTGTCATTTCCAGCCCATCGTTTTGCTAAATCAAATCATGCTATTGGTATCATGCTTTGATGCTATACAGGCTTCCCCTCCAGCCAGAATGGTTGGGAGGCCATGTGTCGCTTTTAATTACCGTCACCAGCTGATAAAGCCTTTTGGTGGAGATTTAAATCCTGCTAAAGAGCATTAGTTGACAAGCAAGGCGCTAGCAAACAAGCGTGGCAAGGGCCTTGGAAAGGAGTATGTGGAGGTGAAAGGATCAATTATAAAAAAACAGATGTAAATTGGTACACTAATTAGTCCTTGCACATGAGAAAGGGGAGAGTCAAATCTTGTTCTGCCATTATTTTAATATCAGGTATCAAAAGAGATATCTTCAAGGAGAAAGAGGAAAACTAACCTTGGAACTTTTAATATATCAATATACTGTCAACTTTCTCAAGTACATTGTCTGTCAAATTGAAATCTGTACAATGTTATGTTAACACAGAAAACGTTTGTTTTGTTGTTGTTGCAGGTGCCAAAAAGAGAAGAATGACATTTAACTGAGTCAGAACCACACATTTCATCTGAACAACTTGTCTACAATGGAAATCATGGGTACTTGTATTCAGTGATCTGCATATGTATTGCTCCCTTTTAAACCAAACACATTTCAGTAACTGTTAAATGTATTACTAACAGTCCCCGCCGCCACCATCATTAGAGGCTTACAATTAAGGTGTCAGGCATGGTTGCTGCAGCCAGGCAGGAGAAAATAGTTACATGTGCAGGTGGCGCAGGACTCACAGTCTGATCGGTAGTCAAAACTTTGTGGTGAAGAGTTTATAGGGTCTTAACCTCCTGCCACATGCGATTAGTGCAGTTGTGACCTTCTCTCATTAGTTCCTGCTGCAATAAATAAACAAGGGCAATATGACCTGACGTGACATATCAGCTTTTGCTTTTCCGTGTTGCAGAATGGATTGCACATCCTCTCTAATATTATCTTAAAAGTTCCTTGACATTTTTTTGTGTAGCTTTATTAGCATGCACTTTTTACTTTACCAGGAGATTAAGAACAGCATATTGTTGACATTTGAAGACTTTGGTATGGAAATAACTCACACTCTAGTGGCTATGGTTAAGGGATTTATTTTTACACAAATACAGTTTCTGTTCACTCAAATATCCCAAAAAATGTGTTATATTATCCTTATCACTGTGTGGATCAGTGCTGACAGAGAAGGTCATTCTAGATTCTAAAGACAGTGTTTAAAGTCACTTTGAATGATAAGTCATTTATATTTTCCCATTGGTCTCCATAAATGATTGACCTTTCATTGCTTATTATTAAAGATATGGGGTTTGTAAGGGGTCACAAAGCAGCGAGATGTGAAGTAGTCCTGTTTCCGAGTGACACAAAATATACAATGTCTCTGCAGATACTCATTGTGCCTTGGAAGCTGTGGAGAGACTTCAAGCCAAACTTAAGGAGAGAGGAGAAGCCCCCACGCAGGAGAAGCTCTCCCTGCTCAAGACGGTCCTGCAGAGCCCCCTGTTCCATCATATACTCAGCTTACAGCAAGCTCAGCGGAAGCCCCCGGCAAAGGTACAGCGTGAGCATGACTGTGTGGGTGTTAGCTGTATATTGAATGGTGGGGACGGAGCCGGAATTATTCCCAAAATACTGAATGCAGGAACCAAACTGGATGACTAATCAGCTTACCTAAGCTTACCACTAAAGCCCTGAGACAGACAGAGAGAGAGAGGCAGGAAGGTACACACGTCTATATACTGTAACATGTTGAGTCTGCAAAAGTCATCCGAAGAGTGTCACAAGTTAAGTTTATGTCTGTTTCTGAAGTGTCAGCTTGTCTAGTTCATCATATCCAGTTCACATCTACTGTACTGTTGTTCTCAACATTTCCTCTACTCGAGTACATTTTTAAGGTTTCCAATTCCTGCTATTTAATACTTTTACACAAAAAAACAGTTAACTTCTACATTTGTTTATAGATTAAATCTAACGATATTAAATGAAATCAGCAAACAAATAATGTAAACATTATGATATATTATAATAGGTCAATACTTGAACTGTATAGTATAGTATAGTATATTGAGTTGAGGTTTGTTAACACCACAAAGTTGGCCCTTCTCCCCTGCTCAATAAGTGTTAGGGTACTCTTCAGTGTAACAAAGCCGACCACAGTTCAATCTTGTTTTTGAACAAGCTGTACGCTTAGTGCTTCGCCTAGTTATTTTTGCTTTTTATAGGGATTTGGTATTTTTGCTATTTCATCTTGAATGCATGCTCACGATCTGGCACCTGTTTGCTATGTTTGAGGATGGGGTGACGCCTAGAAACGTCTGTAACACAGCAAAAAAAAAACTAAAATGCATTCAGAAGGCCCTGCAAATGGGTCATACTGTAAGTGGTGATTGAGAGGGATTTATGTTGTGTGAGTCTATACATAAGCGGCCCAATAGACAACCTTTACATGTAACACTACATGCTGTATTGCTACTTCGCCCTAATTCAAACATCTGAGTACTTATTTAACCGCTGTTGTAGTGGTAATGATCATGGCTTTGTAATCGTCTGTTGTGGTGTGCTTTAATGGGCTGACCCTATAAGCACCACACCACAGTCCACACACAAGGATTATTACATTACTGGAGCTGTGTGTCGTGTCAGCTCGTAACCAATTACTATCTCTACATTCCAGGAAAGATGACACTGCTGGATAGTGTCAATGGTTTCTGTATTTTTATCAAGACAGACACTGACATCGCTTTTTGTTGGTTCACGATCTTGTTTCTTGTCAAACTTACAGTGGCAAAAACAAAATAGGAGCAAATAAATTGAGGTTTTGATATAGCTCTTTCTTTTATTCTGCTACTGCTACTTCAACAGGTGTTACAATTGTTAGAATGAAATAGCATACAGATAAAAAAAATATGTATCTTCCGGAAATCCCTTTTTCACTGTGAAACAGAAAACCTTAAAGACAAAAGGGAACAATCTTGTGGTTACGTGCTATTGAACAGAAGCACTTATCTCAGAACCCTGTATTCTTGCTTTCCTATCTTTTCTCTTTCTGCTCAATTTTAAAACCATCTCTCTGCACTTATCCGGCTCCTCACCCTCCATATCTTTGTCCTTCAATTAATGTCCCCACCACTCTATCAAACCCCTTCCCCATTTCTTTATCTCCCTCATCCATTTACCTCCCAATCTTTATGTCCCCCTTCCCTCGAATCCTTAAATCCCTCACTCATTAATTTATTATCTCTCCATCCCATCAATTTATTTTACATACTTCATCTCTATTTTCACACTTGTATCCTCTTATCTCAACATTTGTGCTATCTTTCCATTCGGTATTACTCCTTCAATCCTACCAGGGGAAGATTTCCAAATCTGTTTCCATGAACTGTGGCCCCTGCCATGGCATGGCACTGGACCTGAAGGCACTGAGCCACAGTGACTCCTACACATGGGCCATAGAGAACCGAGGCACTGCCAGGTCCATCTATAGCGACAACAGCCTCACTTCTCTGGGCTCCCCGGATCTGTCCTTCTCAGACGTCTACTCAAACAACTGCATTCACACTGAATCCCCAGTAAGTAAAACACCTATTGTAGACATGAGGACCTAGGAGGTAGTTTGGTTATAAGCAAGTCATTGTTGAAGTCCATGCATCAACTTAGTGTTTCCACGTTGTTGTTTTTTCCTTTCAATTGTAAAATATGCCACATTACCATTCCAAATGTCACATTTTACATTTCAGAATATAACATTACATTATAAACTCAAGCACAGTTGGATGTTACATTGTCTGGTGGTTTCAGCTAAGAGCCTGTTAGGCGTTAGAGGCAGGGCCGCTAACTCTATGTCACATGTGTCAAACTCAAGGCCCGGGGGCCAAATCAGGCCCTTGGTGGATTTAATTTCGGCCCGCAGGATAATTTCTAATTACTATTTGATCTGGTGTGTGTGTGTGTGTGTGTGTGTGCTTCACTCCATCCTGAGGGTCTCCTCAGCTCAGAGCCTGAGCCCAAACATTGATGAACTTGCACCCAATATGAGATGCCAAGTATCTGGCTTGAACTAGCATCACAGAGCATAACACTGAGTTTCAATGGATGTTTCCTTTTGCACTTTTCTTCTTGCGACAACAGGGCATGTTTGTTTTGTTCTTTGAGGGAAATAGTTTTTTTGAAGCTGTGACTCCGGAAAAGCTGCAGATAGAGCCATAAGAAATGAATGCAACTGATTATTTAATGTTTAATGTTGTTTTTATAGGCAATCATTTAAGCTTTGTTAGTTCCAGGCTTAATATGTGCAATAAGTTCATTTCAATACGTTTTGCAATAAACATTGAACCAGTCCGGCCCTCGACTAGTACCCATTTTTTTATTTTGGCCCACTGTGTATTTGAGTTTGACACCCCTGCTCTATGTCATTTAAAGTTTGCTGTTGTTTTAAACATGACGTTTATTTTGTAGTACTGCACTCCCCCTCGAATCTCCCGCACCATGTCGATGGGTAGAAACCTGTCTGCTATCGCCCATGAGGTACATTTGGCTCACATGTGAAGTGGTAATGTAGAGCTGTAAATGTGTGTCTGTGGATATAGATAAGCAAGGGAATCAAACTGCTTTAGCACTCCAACCTGTTAATGGTGTCTCAACATTTAATTAAAATAGATTTTCTCTCTCTCCCTCCCTCCCTTTTCTGCTCCCTTGCCTCTTTTTCTAACCCTTGCCACATCAGAGGCGTCACGTGGAGATGATAGAGCTAATCAATGATGGGAAAGGACTGGGTTTTGGAATCATTGGCGGGCGGAGCACCGGAGTCATGGTCAAGACCATCCTTCCTGGAGGAGCTGCCGGACGGGTAAATCCACCTGCCAATCAATCGCATAGCCAAAACTTAAATAGCCGGTTAAAGGAGTAGTTAAGCATTTTGTAAAATATGCTTTTTTACTTTCTTGACAGAGTTAGTAAGAAGATTATCACTATTATATCATAATAGACCTTAAGTATAAAGCTGCAGCCAGGAGTTGGTTAGCTTAGCTTAGCCTATAATATTTCCCTTCCTTATTGATGAGTTAAATCTTTGAAGGAACATACTGAAACGTTGTATTATAGTTATGTGTGTTATGTTGAATCTGCAGAATGTATGTAAATATATTTCACAAAAAACAGTTGTTGTTGTTGTAATGGGGCTCCCTAGGATAAGCGCCTGCGTAGCGGAGATCAAATCCTGCGCATCGGGGATACAGATCTGGCAGGCATGAACAGTGAGCAGGTGGCACAGGTGAGGTATCAATTGAAAATAAATTCTATATTAGATGATGAATTGAAGTATTCTTTTGCCAGCTCTGTTTTCTTTTTTGTGTAGCCTAATGGTAATTGAATTGAATTGATTTATTCAAAACAAGGGACAGTGTAAATTAATCAACATATTAGAAACATGTAAATGTACTCGAATTAGCCAAAATGCTAGTTTTAACCGATAGTCCCTTTGCCAGATGGTGATAGGCATCCTAAAAGCAAGAATAAAAATACCACTACGTTGTCATACAAAATAAATGTACATATTTAAAATAGACGACATCACTGAATACAGGTAAGGAGCAAGTCATAATAATAAAGAAAACATTCACACACACACACACACACACACACACACACACACACACACACACACACACACACACACACACACACACACACACAGTGCTGACACTGTTGGTTATTAATGAGTCGCTTTTTAACACTGTGCTTGAATGGGTAGTAGGGTGAGAATTCCATTGATGGGATGCGTGGAATGAAAAGACAGCCTGGCTAAATGCACTTTTCCTAAATGGGATAGTGCAGTCTCCCCTAGCCGCACTTCTAGTAGCCCTGATTGAGGTGGGCTTTAGGCTGATGAATCCAGCCAGAGGAGGAGGAGCCAACCCACAAGTGATCTTGTAAACTAAGCAGACGTTTTTGTATACTTTGAGATTTTCCCAGTTGAACAGATTATACTTTTTAGCAATGTGGCAATGATGATACCGGAATGGCTTTTTGTCTAATGTTTTAAGTGCTTGTTTATATAATGATTCCAGTGGTTTTAGAGCTGTAGAGTGTGCATTTGAACAGCTTATCAGACAGTAGTTACTGTAATGTGGGCGAGAACCATTGAGTGAAGGTATAGCTTTGCTGCTGGAGTCGATAGGAAGTTCTAATGTATCTGAAATTTGACAGATTGAACTTCACTTTATTGCAGACCTTTTTGATGTGGGTTTTGAAACTGAGGTTTGTGTCAATGTGTACTCCTAAGTACTTGTACTCAGAGACAATCTGTAGTCTCCTTCCAGAGAAGAAAACATCTTGTTCTGTAACAATGCTGTGGCCCTTGGAAAAGAACACACACACTGTCTTGGAAATATTTGGTTGCAAACAATTGTTGTTAATGTGTGCTTGAATAACAGATACAGTGTAAATATCTTGTCACTGTGTGTATTCACTGTTAGCCCATAGTTAGCTCAGGGAAGTGTGCCATATTCTTTTATCAAAAGTGTTTCGAGGACACAAAAACTGTATTTTCTAAGAAAAAGAGGACATCATTGATTTAGCAAATATATTTCTGGTTAACATTTAAGAGCAGCACACAGCTTTTTCTGAGCTATTCTCTATAAACATCCAAGCCTGTTTCAAGGAAGTCATCTGTTATAAAGTATGCATTACCATCCTATTTCTTAATTGCAATACACTTTTTCTTTTCTTCTCTTCACAATTGACTACCTGGCCCAGGTTCTGCGAAATGCTGGCACCAAGGTGAAACTGCTCATTGCCAGAGATATTACAAAGGACAATCACCTCTCCTCTCCTGTCCTCAGCCAGGACAGCCTGGACGGCAAGGTGTGTGTGTGTGTGTGTGTGTGTGTGTGTGTGTGTGTGTGTGTGTGTGTGTGTGTGTGTGTGTGTGTTTGACAGCACATCATTAAAGTCATACATTAACTTTTCATATAATTGGCTTATCAGTGACATTAAACATGTAATACATGATTCCCTTAAACACAAAAATGCTGTATTGGATTCATTATGGTCTGTGCTTCCTTCCAGCTCAATGACTTGAAGGATGACTATGATTTCAGTGTGCAGTTCACTAAGAACAATCAGGGCCTGGGATTCACCATTTCTAGCTACATAGGTGACCTAAACTCAGGTAATCTACCGATTTAAGATGTATTAAAAAATTGTCTTAGCATTATTCCAAGCTAAATTCACTTAAAAAAACAGTATATGCAATTATATAAACCTGCTTAGTATAAGGCATTATTGCGTGATTATGATTGATTATGTATACATTTAGAGCTACATTCACTTAATCAACTCGAAGTTTGACCACATTTTGTCTCTTGTTTTCCTTAGTCTACAGCGCTGGTGTGATAGTGAAGACCATAGTGAAGGGTAGCACTGTCGATCAAGACGGACGCATCAACATCGGAGACATCATTCTGTCTGTGAGTTCCACTAAAAACAACAGATGGCTTTTTTATTGAGCCCTCTGAAGAAATACCTTGTCTCCAAAAAAAAGGCATTTCAAAATGTGCACAGTTTACAGCTTTTAGTAGTTACCTACAAACCAATTTGTGTTTTTAAAAGCTGATGAAGTGGAATCCTTATAGTTTTTCTTTTACTTCCATCCATCACTTTATCATCTGATGCTTTTACTGCTTTCAATCTTGCTCTGTTTTTTATTTTTGATTCGTATTGATTTACTTTCCCATTTCATTTGCCTCCATACCGTCCACTTCATCCACTAAAATGTTGCTTCTGTCTCCATCATACCTGAGCATTCATCCTGGCTCTTTTCCTACTTTTACATCCTGTCCCCTCCCTCAGGTGGACGGGGTGAGTCTGCAGGGCTGCAGTGAGCAGCGGGCCATGGAGGTGCTGAGAAGGACAGGCCCCCTGGTCAGACTGAGGTTGCTACGGAAGGTGGTCCGTCTGAGTCACATCCTGCCCCCAGTTCCCCCCCTGCATCCCCTCCGACACTCCCACAGCTTCCATGAGGGCAACCCCTACAGGATGGGCCTCAACAAGATTCAAGAGACAGGTGTCTTTTGCTGAGAGAAAGGAACATATTGGCTCAGGGGTATCATAAGGGAATTGCTTTTGAAGTAGCTGACGAAATAGAGAACGTGATTTGACAGCATGCCCTTACATAAACGTATTATGCAAGCAATCATCCACAGGTTCTACCTTTCATGTCTGTTTAAATCATAACCAACTTATCTCTCTATCTGTTCAAACTATAAAAATGCTTGCTTGGATGTCAAGTTTTTTTGTGTGTTTGTGTTTGGATCACTGCTCAAAATCTGTTTCCCCATCTTCCAGGAATCTGCTCACTGCGGGAAATCTCCCGGCGAGCAGCATACGCCAACGGACGACCCCGTCACGATTCCAGAAACGGTAAGCCATGCTGCAGTGCAGTCTGGAACTGGATCATGGGACTTAGTCTGATATGCTGATTGGGCTCAGGAAACAGCAATGTGGCAGTGAAGCATGCTCTTTGATGGGAGTCTATTTATAGTGTTGTTCAGTCATGTGTTTATCCAACTCATTCAGCTCATTCCAGATGATTTGTCTCTCGCCCCGCCTGCTTGTATGTCTTTATTTAGACAAGGATTTTTTGGGTTTCATTAGAGAGCACAGCCAAATAAGCACTGATTGCCATGGGGCTTTAATAGACAGACGAGAAATCATTAGTTTGCCAAGAAATCTCAAGATGGTGGGTGTGAATATGCATGTATATGTGCCAATAGTGGCGTGCGTGTATGTGTGTGGTGTGTGTGCGTGTGCTATGTGTCTGTTTGTTGTTTCTCTCTAATAAACAGCCAAAGTGATGTTTTTATATGGGATTTTAATGTTTAATACTGGGGTATGTAGGGCTAGAAACAACACATATGGGATATAACTTGATTTTACTTTGTTTATATGCACATTTTACAGGTGTTAAACTGACGCCAGCTGAGGAGGAAGACCTGAGGAAGAGGTGGCAGTATGCAGTCGGACGGAGATACGAAGTTATTGTAGGTCTAGCATTCAATATAACATGCAGAGAGAAACCAGTTTCAAAATAACATTGTACATATCTAAATGTTTATTAACATGTAATGGCCAATTTAAAGAAGAAAAACCCACTTTCTTCCTATTGTGACTCCTACACTTTCACCTTTCTTAGCCATGAAACGTTGCTTCTCTTCATTTGTTTCCCAATCCTCAACCTTATGTCTCTCTTTAAGGTGTGTCAGCTGGAGCGTTTCGGTGAGACGAGTGGGCTTGGCATCAGTCTGGAGGCTCGGGCGGGACATCACTACCTCTGCTCCGTTTTACCCGAGGGGCCTGTTGGTCAAAGCGGCAGGATCTTCACCGGAGACCAGATATTGGAGGTAACCTACTGACAAAGGTCCTTTGTTCCAATCGCTTTGCAACTCACTCTTTAGGTATTTTATATAGAGATGATATTTTGGGGGTCAAACAAATATATTCTTGTGAATAACTACCAAAAAGACCTGACGTTTTCAGCATCATATGTTCGGGTTTGTTGCCTGTTCTTTAAAAGTAGTTAGAACAGACCAGAAAGGGAGTCATATTGCATTTTAAAAACTACACAAATATCTAAAACATCACAAGTAAACACGCATACTTAATTCAAGTATGCTGATAAGATGGTGGGGGTGGAGGCCTCAGTGTATTTGTGCTTGTACTGTATTGGTATAGCTTGCCATCCTCCCACTTTGCTGGGTAAGTTCATGAACCCGCACATACTGTATGTCTCACCATGATTAGCACTCTTTTAGCTAAACTTTAACACAATGTATACATTACAGTGGCTTTGGTTGCGGTGTAGAAAACACTGAAAACGGGTTTATGTCCTTCTTATCTTTGAGCGCACAAGCAGACATCTGTGCCGCAGCTCAACTCTTTGATCTTTGTTAGACAACATCTGCATGGAAACGCCATTGTTCATCTCTTTGTTCATTTGTTTACTATCCTCGCTTGCTTAAGTTACGGCTTGCGGCTTTAGCTGTTCATGCTGTGACTTGATGTACTAATTGCAAACCAGAAATTAAATATCAGTAAAAACCTTTAATGGCTGTGTTGCAGGTTTTTCCATGAAACACAGATACTGTAGTCAAGAGTGACGGACAGCTGTGTTTTATTCTAGTATTTTTCAAAAGCTAAAAGCATGACATTGCAAATCCCTGACCATAGGAATATATGGAACAAATATTGTATGTATTATCTTCATGGCAGGTGAATGGGATCCCTCTAATTGGAGAGACGCATAAGGAGGTGGTAAATATTCTGAAGGAGCTGCCGATGGATGTTTGCCTGGTGTGCTCTCACATTGTACCGCCTGCAATCCCCGACAGTGATGAGGAGGATGAGAATGATGCACATCTCACCTTGAAAGAGCTACTAGCTGAATTCAATGACAAGGTGAAGGGACATATCGATGAAAGGATACATAGTGAGAATAAGCCTTTGTGGTTAAATATATTCCCTTAAGACAGTATAAACTTGTTATGTTATATCGTATTATACTTGTTACCGTTCCCCTGCATTCGAAATGACACCCAAAAATGCCACTGACTTGCTCTTTCCTTGGAAATCAATCTTCCTATCTGTGTCTTTTCTTCTTTCTGTGCGACCCAGTTGGACCAGGGCTGTGTCATTCCCTGTCCTACAGCTGAGGACATCACCAAGCGTGGCGTGCCCCCAATGTCCCCTCCCCTGGCCATGTGGGAGAGAGACGCTCAGGTGGTCGAACTGGAGAAAGGGGAGTTAGGACTTGGCTTCAGTATCCTGGACTACCAGGTCAGAGACATGCCTCTGAGCCTTTCTACAAATAGAACTGACTGGAATAGGCTGCAGTCTGACAATATCAGCATCAGGTTGTCTAAGATGAAGACACTAGAGAAGCATGTGGACTTCTTCTAATTTGCATATTTGTGAGCTCAAGTAGAAACTGTAAAGTGCAGTGTCCGTTGCTGTTATAAATGTATAAATCTATAGCAATAATCACTTGTTGCCCCTCTATGAGAACAGCCAGTTCATTTACTTTTACACTGGTCTCTGTTTTTTTGTTGTTTACATTAATTTATATTCCATTCAATTCACAATGTATCTCATGTATGTCGATTATCCAACCAGCCTATCCTTATGTCTGACTCTAGGATCCAGAAGATGCCACTAAAACTGTTCTGGTAATCCGGTCTCTGGTGCCTGGGGGTGTAGCAGATCGAGATGGTCACCTGCTGCCTGGTGATCGACTCATGTTTGTTAATGAAAGTGACTTGGAAGGCTCAAGCCTGGATTATGCTGTGCACGTCCTTAAATCCACCGGCTATGGCCCTGTCTGCATTGGAGTTGCCAAACCACTGCCGGTATGTAAAGAGATGTACATTTTTGGCAGACAAGTCAGTTTTTTTTTAAATTCACAATTAAAAACCTCACTCTAATGCAAGAAACTAATGTATTCCTGCTAATTGAATGGCTTAATACACCCAGAGTTAAGTAAGGGGAGAATACTATACTATAAATGGTGCTGTATGGCAAAGTCTCAGACAGTGGACACGTTTATATTGTCATACAGTATACAGTATACAGTATATCATATTGTGGGCTGCAGCGTATACAAATATTCAAATGCAGCTTTCTTCAGGATTTTCCAAAAATACATTCATTTCCACAGATATGCAAGATAATTACCTAAATGTGTGTTTCCTTGAGGGTACAGTATTCCTTCGTCTTGTTGTGGACTGTGGCTTAGTAACAAGGAGCAGAGAATCCAGTTACAGGCCATCTGAATTTTTAATGTAGCTGAGAGATGAACACAATGCTCGACCACAGTACAGATGGAGAGAGAAGGCTAGAGGAGAAGAGGGTGTCTAATTTACAGTTACCTTGTTTAGACTGTTTGCTTCCATGTGAATTCACTTGCACATAGAACGTTTTTTTTCATTTTGGGAATTTTGTGTTGTCAGCTGGAACTGTGTGGCGGCCTAACGCCCATCTCAGAGAGGAGCTTGCGGACTTCTTATGATGACACTGACAGCCAAAGTCAGATCAACCTGCTAGCTGAGGCAGCGGAGGCTAACAGCAACACTTGGAACTTTGAGGACAACAGGATCATCGGGCCGTATTACTCTACAACGGTATGTCATACAACACAAAATGAATATATCTTTAAAAAACGGATTTATTAAAATTGCTGGACAGTTTCTGAGTACATAGTTTCTGGTGGCTTTTTTCTGGGGAAAGAAAAACAGGACAACTTTAGTCCACTTGCAAATTGAGGTCAAAGGTGCTACACTGCAGAATTTGTCCAATTATTTTTAAACACGTTTGGGGAAACTGTGTGCAGAGCATACTGTAGATCTGAAATAAATAGAACTGTAACTGTCCTCTAAAGAGACAAGTTTAAATTGCTTCTTTGCTTCATAAATATGAACCCACTTCTCTGTTGTATAATCTCTCACATTCACCAAACTGAATTATTGTTAACTAACATCTCATTAATGCTTTATGCTTTATGAGATTAAGTAGGAAACATATTAGCATGTACAGTAAAAGTAACACATACAGCAGTCTGAATCTTGTTGTCCATCACACAGGAAGCATTGCTCATTAGCATGCAAACTGGAGATCTTTCGGTAGCCATTTTAGGTTGCTCCAAGGGAGATTACTATGATAGTGTTTGTTCTGTCAGTGAATGTTCTATACAGAGGAGCTTAGAGCCAGCGGTATCAGTATCACTGGGTCAGGTAGTATAGAGAAAGTGCTCAGTGTCAAAGACATGTTCCTCCTTTGTGGTCTCAACTCAATCCCATTGAGTCAGCCTTTTGTACTAGCCTTTGCTTAATTACCAACAATGGCCTCTGAATGAAAAGTATTTACTGCTTGCACGACATAAACAACCGGTCTAGCACAAGGGCATACAGTTCTGCCTTTATATATCCCAGACACACACACACACACACACACACACACACACACACACACACACACACACACACACACACACACACACACACACACACACACACACACACACACACACACACACAGAGATCCAGAGCAGGTATGTCAAGTGTCAGTGTGTTCTCATCAAAGACCGGCTTGTTGCAGAGGCAGCGTCAGAACTTCAGTTCTGCTTGTACTTTCTGTGAAGGTTCAAAGACAATCTCCCTGTTGCACTTTTTCTCTGTGAAGTGCCAAGGGGGACTAAAGAAGCCTGCCTTCCTGCATGTTTTACATCTCAGAATTACCCCAAAGGCCTTCACCCTGCAGAGTTCAATTTGTTTTAATCTATTTGGATTGTATTTATTCATAAATGTATCTTTGCAATATGGGAGACTTTTTAAGAAGTTGTACAATTAGATCCATGTAGTTTGTGTCAAAGCTTATTTTGTTGTGCTGTCCTTTCCCACAGCGGTACTTTGAGATAAATGCTAATGTCAGCATGTTCACAATTGCAGTTCTAACAAGCTGATTTGTATTAGTACAGTAGGTTAAAGTTTGCCATGTTTTCCATTATAGTTTAGCGTGACTTAATTTGCCTTTTAGAAGGAAACAAGTCAAAGTGAGGCTGTAGAGCTGGAGGAAAAGCCATTATAACGTATCCTCTGGGGACCATGACTGTAGAAAGCAACCATCACAGCAACCATCCACTAATTCTGTATTTGTTACCCCAACTTCATGCCCTCACTCATAACCTCTGTCGTCTCCCTCGTAGGAAAACCGGCTGCGGCATCGTTTCAACATCATGGAAGACTACGACAGGCAGCAAGCACCACCTCTGCCCCCCCGCACCAGCTTTGAGAGGACAATCACTGTTGTCCGGGGCAACCGTAGCCTTGGTATGTTCTACGTCTTTCTCATGGTGATGGTGTCTTGGTGTGTGTACGTCGCTGGCATGGCGTTAATAACGCTAATTGGCGGTGTTGATGACGACTGCGCTGAAGAGGAGTGGTGAAATTATGTGCTCCTCATACCTGAGCGAGGAGATGATTTCTGTGCATGTGTGTGTGTCTGTGCATGTGTGTTTGTCTGATAGGCTAGTATGGTTGTAAATGGATGGTCAAAGTAATGTGAATGAATATTAATGAACCTTAAAACCAATGAGTATATTAACATTTTATATTTGTTTTTATACTCTAGTGTTGGGATTATATTACTTATTTAAAAATGTCAGGGAGTTAACAACGGGGTGTAAGGCACTCCTGCACTTTCATTTAAGGGCACTGTGCAAACTAAGTATAAGAAAACAAACTTATTTGTATTCTGGAAACGTGCTCTAATAAGGCACCGCACTACTTGTGTATGCGTGAAAGTTTAACATTATGTTAATTTCCAAAGGTAGAGAAAATCAAGGTAATAACCTACAGTCTGTGTATCACTGCATGTGTTAGTATTTATCTGTTTATAACAGTGTAGGTCTTCCTGTTAAGATATGTATTGTAGCACGGTTTTCTGGACATCCACATGTGGAGGGTTTACAGATTGTCTGTGTTCATTTGTTACTCATGTTAATTTAAATGTATTCAAATGTAAGGCAATAGTACGACTTGGGCAGAGTTATGGTCTGTATCTGTAAGGCCCAAATATTTGGGATTTTTATGAGCAATATTTTTAAAGATCTTTTTGCACTTCTTTACATCCTTCCTATTGTTAGGTGCCATGGTCAATTCTATCCATCGGGCAACTAATGACTGAGTGCCCAATTTTGATAACATGAGACATGCTAACAGTGTATGGTTGGTTTGTACTTCAAGGACTGTATGGTTTTCAGAGCAGGTTGTTAAAGGAGAAGGTTTGATGGATTATAATGAGGTCTTTGTTTCTTGCCTTGCACGTCTAAAAACATGAGTATATACAGCCTGGTTAGAAGTCTTTGTTCTTGAATGGTGTGAACCTATTACATTAACATGAAGAAGTTCCGTTGAGATCAGAAGAAATAGAATTTCATATAGAAAATGTCATTTCGGAATTTACCATTAATTATTCAAAAACTTTCATTAGTCTGTAATAAAATTAATGTATTGTGATGCAGTGTTGTAGGAAACAAATACCTTTGGATTTAGAGACATTCATCATTATTACTTCAGACTTGCTCTCATGTCTTTGAAATGTCTTCTGTCTGTCTTATCAGCGTCAGTAGCTGTGTCTCCAAACGATTGTTTTCCATGCACTATGATTGTATTGTAATTTGAATGTTTTACAAAAAGCAATAAACTATTTATTTGATCAAAAATAAGCACAAAGTACTTTCTTTGACCATTTTCAAATTATGACCATAGTGTTGTGGATGTGCGTAGTCCTCCATTAGATGTCATTGTAGGGTGCAAACGCCATATTGTAGACTAGACTTCCTAATTTGTTGTAGCCTTCCCTGTCTACAGTGTGTGCATGTGTGTTGGTGAAGTGTGCACGTGTGCGTGTGTGATGCCTGATTTACCTGCTTCTGCCTGTTTGCATTAAAGTAGTGTTTGTGTAATCCGCCTAGCGTCAGATTTGATAATGCCAAAGTCAGGTGTTTGAGCGACTTGCATGTGTTAACCCTCCAGTCACCTGTGCACTTTGCCCTGTGTTGGTGTGTGTGTGTGTGTGTGTGTGTGTGTGTGTGTGTGTGTGTGTGTGTGTGTGTGTGTGTGTGTGTGTGTGTGTGTGTGTGTGTGTGTGTGTGTGTGTGTGTGTGTGTGTGCACCTTAATGCGAGTTTGGCTGAGGGTGATGCTTTGTAAATGTCAAGCATGTGTCGCCATGTTTGTGTGCTAATCTGCCTAGTGTCTGTCTTGATTATACTGATTATGCCACTGTCAGGTGTTTGTTTGGACGACTGTCTGTCTCTTTGGCATGCAATCAAAGCAGACTTAGCCAACCATCCACTCACCTGTGCTCATGTGTGTGTCTGTGTACGTGTGTGCGTGTTGGCAGGGATGTCGGTGAGTGCTATCAAGGACGGCTCAGGCATGCTGGTGCGCGGCATGGTCCAGGGGGGCTCTGTTAGCCAGGATGGCAGGCTGGGGGTGGGGGATGCCATCTTGGCCATCAACAGAGAACCTACCTCCAATCTGACCAACGCCAGGGCCAGAGCCACACTCCGCAGACACTCTGTCATAGGGCCAGAGATAAGGTGAGGAGCCGGTCACTGTCCAACAACATTACCATTTGAGAGAGTTTTGCTCTGGGCTGAAAATAACACAGGTGATGCTTACTGTTACATCACAGTTTAGCTCGACAACTCTATAATAGCTCAGTTTAAAGGTCCCTATTATACTGTTTTTCATTACTTTATTATAGGTGTCAGATATATACAAAACATGTCTGAAGTGTTTGGCTGAAACACCAAACAGATCATGCATTGATCCCATAATCCCCTCTGTTTCAGCCCTGTTTCAAAAGTGCTGATTCTCTGTCTGTTACTTTAAAGGAAAATAAGGTGCCACTCCCCACGCCCCTCTGCGAGATATTTGGTTAAAAAGAACACAATTGGCCAAAAAATAGCCAAAATCTGATCAGCTCATTTTCAGACAGGTTTTTATATAAATGGATCAGGACAGAAAGTGAGCAAATCTTTTTTCCTGAAACTTTCAGAATCTCTTTACTCAGAGGGGACACATGTTTATGTATAAAAGACAGGAAATAATATAATAGGTGACCTTTAAAGGATTATTGTGTCGATCTCAAACTGACTTCCTGAGTCACATAACATGGTATCCTTGCTGAGTCCTCTGAATCACTTCTACTCAAAAATCTTCAGACTGTGTTGAGACCCACTGGCTGGCTGGATGTGCAGCACTGTGCGTCACCCTCTCTACAGCGGCTAAAATGATGCTTCACATCCCTTAATTGTTGCAGAGGAACCCTATGGCTCTGACGCACCACATGGCGTCATCAAGTAGTATAGTCACAGCACTACATGATTTTCTAATGTTGACAGTAGCAGGGCAGACATTCTTTAGTTTTAATTTGTTTTTAGCTAAAAACATGAATTGATGCCGTGCTGTTACTGGGCCTTTTTCACAGCAGACATTTAAACTTGGCATGGTAGTACATGCCTACATGGCACAGGTGTTGCTAATAACATTAAAGATGGCTTCATTCCCAGTGAGTCATGACACTCCGGCATCGATAAGGACCCTGAAAAAAAGCAGCTAAGTAGAATTCTGTCTTCATTAGTTTCATTGTTTAACACCTGTGCTTTTTCTGCTGGGACATGTCAAACTGCCTTCTGGGAAAAGGGCCTATGGCTTAAAAATCACCAGATACTGTATGTTCACTTATTCTGGCTAATTACTGTAGATATCTGCTGAGGCTGGAGTTGGGCAGAATTGTTTTGGATTTACAAATCTTAACCGAGCTAGCTTGCTAGGCCATCTTGATTGATTTTTACTGTACTATTATTTGAGTAATTTTGGCTTCACTTTCAACTTGTATTAAAGCGACATTAAACATCCTTTGGTGTCAGATTAGTACCTGCCAGTATGCCAAGTTAAATTATAGTTTGTTGCACAGGAACAGATGGTATTGGAACATATGTTGCATATAAAAAACAGGTAAATATACCATCAGTGCAATCTGACCAAAGCTTTATATTTCTCAAGTGCACACAGTGATGCGCCTTTAATAGCGGTCTCACAATCTTATATTTTGTAGTTTCTAATTAAGCTGAAACTGTGTCTCTTAAGTTACACATAACATGGTATCCTTGCTGTTTATATATTCTGGGGTTGTCAGATCTTGGAAATTGTAAACGGGCTCAGTGGGCACAACTAATGGCACAAAACCACATTACATTAACAGCATTAAAGTAGGATATGTGAGTGGCACATTTTACTCTGATTCCAGTAAGTTATGTAGCTCAGTTATTGATTACACATCTATATATATTCACTTACCATTATGTCATAGTTTAAACACGTCTTGAAAACACGACTTGAAAAGCGAGAAAAACTGTTCTTAGTTTAAAGAAAATGTAAGAAGGTCCTATGGGAATATGGAGAGCCATCAATCACTGAAAAAAAAGATGAATTGAACACTGCTCATATTTTCCTAGATCTACCCATGCAGTTATTGACAGTGTGTGTGACCCGAATAAGTGAGTATTTGTAGATCATACAAATAAATATGTGCTGGTCACAATCATGACTTTCACAGCATCATCGCATATAAACGATCTCGTCTCACTGCGGATCTCCATTACCACCTTGTTTTGACACTGCCGTAATAGTTGACTGAGGCGCTGCAGTGATGTTAAATTAGATTAGATGATTACATTTTAAAGATGGCCTGAGGGAAAATTGGGTAAATTATGACTTGTTCTAACATCAGCACTTATGGCTCCACATTGACAATGCTTGTTTGGCTGATTGGAAAAGTGCCCCATCTCCTGCACCGTGCTGCCCTGCACAGCGCCCACTTTGCTTTTACAGGCACACACACACACACACACACACACACACACACACACACACACACACACACACACACACACACACACACACACACACACACACACACACACACACACACACACACACACACACACACACACACACACACAAATTAACACACACACATACACATCCTTTCAATGGTCTAACCTCCAAAAACACCTTTTTCCTGCTACGGGAAATATCTCTGAATAATTCATTGCTCATCTCACCTTGAACAGTGCACTTCTGAATAAAAGAGCGTTTTAAAGAGCCCTTCATAGATGCACGGCACAACACACACAGATGAACACACATATGCAATCTGCCTTGCTCTATCCTTTGCGCACACACACAAACCCGCACACACATGTCTGCCATACTGCCTCCTCCTGACAGCACTGCAGACAAACTAACAGAGAGTGGAGGCAGATGAGTTGCTTTGGAAGCCTCAGAATAAGACAGACATAGAAGGGCTTGTTGCTATCAAACTGCTTCTGTTCAGATACGACAGGCTGTCCACAAGGCTCAGTCACAACAGCTTAGCGTGGAAGACCTCCATATTCAATCTGCCACTATGAGTGGAACCAAGCTCTTTAAGGAGATTCAAACACCACGTCTACTGGTAGTGCCACACAAGAATGGAAGTGGGAGTGTTTGGCTTTAACGACGTCCTTGACACTTTCCCAAATGACATTGTTAAGACCGTCTGACAGATCCTGCTCATGCAAAACACTTTACTATTTCATCCGTCTTGAATCACAAATTGCATCTTGACATTGAAACATGCATTTCTCTGAAATTATTTCATGTTCTTTTCATCTTCTACCAGCTGCAGTAGAAGCACTGTTAATGGAGTAGGGCACATCTATAATTGAATAGCACTTACAAACATCTGACATGTAAGACAGCAGCCTTAAAGTTAGTAGTTGTTTATTGATTGTCTTTCAGGTCTCACATTTTTAAAAACAATTGAATTATTAATTGATAACTAATGATGATTACAACTGTTCAGCGTTATTGAACATTACTTCAGTTATATCCAGCTTTCACTTCTGGTATTTTGTGATGCATTCATTTGTATGATTATAAATATGATCAATTAATAAAATCATATATCAAAGTCATATTATTCCATTAAAGTAAGTCATCACATAATCCATCAATCTTGTTTGTAGATTTCAAGTGCAATGCCATGTGTCTAATTCCTTATCGTATTAGTCACTGTTTGTTGGTAAAAGTTTAATTAATGTGGGATATGGAAACCAAGTATTGGGAAATCTTAAGTCATATTCATATTTTAAATGTTTTCACCCTACCCCGACATTTCTTTTCCACCCCATTTATTTTCCCTCAGCATAACCTATGTCCCAGCCCATCAGGTGGATGAGTACCGCGTCCGTCTGAATTTACCTCCTCTGGCATCCATCGCAGCAGACAGCGCCTCCTCCTCACCGACCCCGCCAACCCTTTCTCCAGAACCCGGCTCGACCCCAGCGAGATCACCAGGTCCAGTCAGAGCTGCAGCCTCCACTCCAGCTTCATACAGCCTAAAACCCTCTGCCACGGCCAATTTTAAAGCTGCAGCTCCAGATCCAGCAGTAGTCAGAGGCTCTGCTTCATCCAAAGCTCTAATCAAAGGTCCAGCCGCGGTCCCTACCATAACCCCGGCCCCAGACTCAAGGTAATGTAAGATCCAGAGGTCTCAGCCTATTATTTATGGTCACCTAATCCCTCCTCAGGCCCCACAGTGCAAGATAAACCTGCCTCAAGGTTTATTAGACTGCAGGGCTCCAGCTTTATTACATGTTGATGTGTTTGCTGCAGAGAATTCAGACGATGAAATACACTCCATACATTCTGCCTGTTGTGAGCTCCGTGTGGTCACCTTAGGGTTTTGATTTTCATAGCAGCTAGTGTTTTTATAACTTTAACACATCACTTACTTCAGTTACCCGGCAGCTTAAGTCACACTAATGCTCTGAGTTATTATCTGACACTTTAATTAACCGTATCCATGAAGGAAACAATGTGTTTCACTTCAGTATGCAACCAGCTCAGTTTGAGTCCCTTCCAGTCCGTATTTTTCTCTTCTCCATTCTTCTCTCTGGTAAAGGCAAAAGTTTCTCTGAATGTTGAATCTCTCAGTTATATTTAGCTGTTCGCTTATGGATCTCAGTGCTGACTGTCAGCGAAAATGAATTGTTTCGCTTCTGTCTATCCCTGCTTTCGCTCCATCTTCTTGCCTCTGCCTTTCTCCTCCCTCCCTCACTCCCATTTCTCTCTGCAGCCTTTTCTTCACTCTTATCTTACGATATGCTGTCTTTGTGTCTTGCTCTGCTAGTCTTCCCTCTTCACTATTTGTGTCCACATCTGTCTCTCATCTCTCTATTTGGTCTTTTTCTCTTTTCCCATTTTCCAATCCCCCTCTCCTGGCCGCTCTCTTTCAGCCCTGGTGGAACCATTTGTTCTGCCCTCTTCTGTAACTTAACTGGCTATAGGCTCCTGCTGTGCAGATAGCACCACTATCACTCACCTCCATGGGCTTATTACAGCCCTCCGCCGTTAAATATATTCATGAAAAATTCTCTCCTTCTCTACCTCGCTTTCTCACTCACACATAAAAAGAGATACTGTATATACTGTATGTTTCAACACACATGCATTAAAATACTACCTTACTGTGAGCTCGCTGGCAGAAAATGTGTATTTCAGGTGTTTTTGCTCTTGACATCCTTGAAAAAATTATTTTCAAGGCCTGGCAATATAAATCACAACTGGCTATGTGTCACAGTGTGTCACGAATTAAAAAAAAGAATAAAGTACACAGAGAATTCTTGTTATCCACAGGAATTATGCCAGTATGAAGCAGACAAATGGTATTTGACTCACAACTTATGGCCTCAAAGTGATTGCTTGTTTTTTTTCACCCATTTTCGCAAGATTATTACATTTTGAACAAAGAGAATGATGTTCTGTAATCAACACATTTTCTATTTAATATCACACATTGATTTAATATTATTTCTGTTTGCATGTTTTTTTGCCATCAGTTGGCTGATTCCAAAACCTTACATGAACAAGAAGGAGGGAAACAAAGAAGGACAGATTGTGAAGGAGAAAATGGACAGACGTAGTGCAGATGGGAAAATATCACAGCTGGAGGTAGAGACAAAGGTGGACGGTAAAGAAGACGGAGAAGAGGAGCTTCATTTTCATACCACAGTTTCTTGGGATCAGCCTAGAAGGTAGGTGAATCAGTGATTTAATTTGTGTTGCCGTTAGATTTTATTCAGATCTTCCATCCTTCTGCCTCTTTTTTTTCCAAAACTCTGCCCATGATGCCTTTTTATTCTTTCTCTGCCAAAGAAGGCTTACTAAAATCCTAGTTTGTTCAAGTTATGTTCACAGCGGGGGAGAGCAACACAGAGCAGACTCAACATGCTCATATTTCTCAGGCCTAGAGAAACCGTTTTTTCACAACCTGTATTTATTGCATTTATGACTGTATCCCACTTATAAAATCACATAAGCTGCACTGTATGCAAAGACCAGCTTTTGTGTGAGTCTCACTTGCATGTATTATATTCATTTGTTTTGACTTATATTTGAAACTCTATCCGCTGTGGATAGAGATTCAAAGAAGAAAAAAAAACACATCCATTGGTTTAGTTCTCTTTCTTATGAATTTGTGCCGTACTGCTCCTTACCAAGTAGACCTTCATCTCTTCTTCAGGCGTACAGAGTACATCCATTAATCATCACTGCAATGCATGAAGGCCTTTCAGCTCTACAATGAGTGTGAATGTTCCTTATATTCTGCTTTGTGCTCCAGTGTGCGGTTGACTCGAACACCAGGCCAGTCCTTGGGTATCAGCATAATGGGAGGCAGAGGCATGGGCCGGAGACTGAGCAGTGGAGAGATGATGAGGGGAGTCTTCATCAAGCACATCAGCCCCGACAGCCCGGCAGCACTTAATGGCACCCTCCAGACTGGAGACAGGATACTAGAGGTGTGTGTGTGTGCGTGTGCGTGTGTGTGTGTGTGTGTGTGTGTGTGTGTGTGTGTGTGTGTGTGTGTGTGTGTGTGTGTGTGTGTGTGTCATTCTGTGGCAATGTTCATTGAGGAGATAGAGAAGGAGACACACTTAGTTTAAATTCCAGGAAAGGCAAGTGTGTGTGTGTGTGTGTGTGTGTGTGTGTGTGTGTGTGTGTGTGTGTGTGTGTGTGTGTGTGTGTGTGTGTGTGTGTGTGTATTAATGCTTATGTGTTTGTTGAATGAGCATGGATTTATATACTGTATACATGTTCTGTTTACTGTGTGTGCACTGTGGAAACATGTACTCCAAGGTTGAGCTCTTTTTCGTCTTTATACAATACAGGATTTTATACAATGCGATGAACAAACCTCCATGCCACACTCGGGTGCAACAGTTTTAAGCACAAACTATAGTGCACATTTGTGTCTCTTTCCAACATATATTTGAATTACAATACTGGGTAAATCCGTTTAACGACATTCATTTAATCCTAAATACCTAGAAATATATCTTGTGGGAAATCTCATTTAGCAATATTTGACCATTAAACATTAGAAAACGTACCATTAGCCCTGCGATCTTGCTATATAGTTTCTACTGAGGTAGCCTTCGCTTTTTTGTATGTGTAAGGTCATTGTAGATAACAGTATGTTCTCATTGCAGGGTTGCCTTAAGGTGAAAATTGGATTTACAGGATTGACACATCAATGTGATTACTAGATTTTTTAAAGGTAATTTTTCAACTAAATTGTCTCTAATGTTGACTCGGCCAAGGTGTGTGGTGTGGACCTACGAGATGCCAGCCATGAGCAGGCAGTGGAGGCCATCCGCCGGGCCGGAGACTCTGTGGTCTTCCTGCTCCAGTCTGGAAAGCACAGATCTCAGGTACTGCATCTCAGAAAAACAGACAACAAGTACTTGCTTAGTCATACAATGTGCAACGAATACTCAAGTACGATTACATAATATTCTGTTTTGTTTTATTGAGGTCCCAGATTCTTTCACTGAATCATAATACTCAACAAGTGCAAAGAAAATCTGCAGTTTATATTGTGTTGGACAACTCATCAGAAGTTACAGCAATGTTTGCGTGGGAGTTTGTGGCATGACAATATAATGTACACAGTTCACAAGGCTTGTTAAACAAACATTTATTTGACTGAAAACCTATTTAGTATAACATATTGGATGCATCATTTGAAGCATCTGCAGTATGTTTCATAAAGATATTCACCTGCCTTCGCTACTTTTTGTGTTTTCGCCCACAGTCCCCTATGCTTGCCAACCACGAGAGACTGACTCCACAGTGTTACTCACACAGCAGTAAGGTAACTGCTCTACCAGATAACTTACACTGTACATTCTCTCTCTCAAAATATACTGCCGCTTTGAGAGTGGTAATGCGTAGTGTAGAAATTGATATGAATGGGGTATATATATATACTGTATATCTATATCTATTTAAATTCAAAAAGCAGTCCCTACTTATTTGTTTCAAGGTCGTGACTGCTACTTTGGTTTTCACTTTAACAGATGACAAGCTGTGAAACCATTTTCCTCAGTTTGTGTTCCCACACAGTTACTGATGTTTGGCTCACTATGGCTGTAGTGTATAGAGAATGTTATACTGTATATGCACTTTATTATATATAGAGTGATGAGTCATTAACACCTTCATGGTATTCCAAAAATAATTGAGGTCTTTGAGAAGAACTTTGAATATCTTTTGTGGGGTAAAATATTTGTTTCCCTTCATGATTGTAGGAAGCAGAGAGTCTGAGTCTGTTCCTTAGTGTCTCCCCTACAAACCCCTTCACTCCCACCCCCTTTAAGGTTGGTACATTGATGTGTGAGTGTGTTTGCGTGTGTTATCGTGGGTATGCAGCATCTTAAAAGACTGCATTAGCATTTGCACTAAACCAACTTCCAAAAACTTAATTAACGTGCTTATTTGTAGATAGAACCCTTGTAGTTCAAAGTCCCTTGCAGCTACCTTGTTTGTTTAAACCCTTTGTTTTTCTCTTTGGTGGAGATGCATAACTCTCTAAATAGACAGCACTTCCTTTTGAAGTTATTTTTCTTTGCACTTGTAAGTTGGTTACAAAATAATGCATGATTCTGGTCATCTTTCATGTTATTTTTAGCCGACATTAAAACTGTGTTCATTAATTTATCCTGTTCGTCAGTTTATCCCACGGCTACATCAAGCACACTGAACAAGCCTCAGGGGTGCTTCAACTCATGCCCAAAGGACCCCTGAGGCATCTCCAGCTCTGCCTGTTCAATAATGCAAAACTTCTCCCAAGGTACCTTCGACAACATCCAATAAAACGGATCGGAGGAGCCCCACTACTGTCCCAACACCAATCACAGTGGCAGCTGGAGAAGAGGGCGATCCTGGCAGGAGTAAGTGTCCATTATAAAAACGTCACAAACACTTAGACAGGAATCCCTTAAAGACCCTTAAAAAAGGAGCTTTGTGGCGTTTGTAATGTGGCCACTTTTACACAGTCACGTGATGGGCCCTATGGCTCAGAGACTTCATGTTACACCTTTCCATTACAAAAGAGAAAGCTGTATTTATAACTCAATCAAAAATATCAGGAGTTTCACCAATATTCAGAAACTACCTTTTTATTTTTTACAATATGCAAATGTACTTCAATGTTCATTATTTTAAAGCTCTCAATCTAATTATTTTTCATAACATTCACTATGGAGATACTTGGCCATGTTCATACATTAGTGAGAATGCGTTATGAGCCAAGAATGCAAAAGCCTAAATATTTTGGTTTCTCTACACTATGTTCTGGGAGAGCAACTTTGGTCTGCCTTTTATCTTTCATTTTTGTATTCTTTGGCATAAAAAAAGCTGTTATTCAAGTTATATACATTCTTTATTTTTGCTTCATGCCCTTATTGCATTAAAAGTGCCCTGAGGAATTTTCTTGTGAACAAACAAAGTTTTGTGTTTACACTCGGTTTTACTCATCAAGATGCTTTGTGCATATTTTGAGGTATAGCAAATGTGTTGAATATATTCCTTTTCCTCATAAAACAAAGGCAGATGTTCTTAAAAGTTTGAAACCTGCATTGCTTACATTCATGATCACATCTTGCTGTATTATACACTGTATATTGCTGCCAGAACTTTACTGTATCCTTTGGATCAATAAAATCAACTAATTAAAACACTGATCCATAGTGCTGATAGCGGTAACAAAGAAAACCCCTCAGGGTACACTTGAGGGAGTTTATGTGATCATGCATATTAACAAATATGTAAATGTGATTATTTTCAAATATTTATTAGCACAGGTTAATACACATGTACACAGACTAATTCACACACGCTCCTTTAGGCTGTAATGCTTCCTCTAGACATGTCAGGGGGAACATGTATCATTACATACTTGCTTTTTTGCTTAAACAACATATTTTTCTCCTTGTTTACTCTTATCCCTCCTAGAAAAAATGCTTCAGCGTTACGGCAGCCTGTCAGGAAAGCTCCATATGATTGAGCTGGAGAAGGATCCTGCGGCTCGCGGCCTGGGAATCAGCCTCTCTGGAAACCAGGATGGTTCCAGGGCCCGCATGAGTGTCCATGTGGCGGAAATCGACCCTCAAGGACCTGCTGGTTTAGATAGGAGGATATGTATCGGAGACGAGCTGCTCGAGGTAAGGAGGAATCTTGAATGGGAACAGTAAGGAAAATCAGTAACGGTTGACATTTACATACTTTTGGGGGACAAGAAAGGCCTGGAGTTCTAGAGAGAGAGAAAATCTTACAGTCAAAATTGAGAGCAGCAGAAAGAGAGCAGTGGGTTGTGGGTTGGAGTCATGGATGAGTAGAGAGCGTTGAGTGCCTGCACAGTAGATTTATCAGACAAATTACCATTTGAAGGATGGCTGGTCCTGGGCTGGATTTCTAGCAATGAGCAACCGTGTAATAGAGATGATATCGAGGTAGAGGAGAGGCTGATGTCTGAGAGGGGCAGGGGAGTCGAAGGAAGATGGCAGAAAGGCAGATTTATGTGGCGCTGGATGGGATAACGGAGAGGAAAGGCTGAGATGGCAGTACATGATGTGAATTTGTGTCCAGATCAACGGTCAGATCTTGTACGGCCGAAGTCAACAGAACGCCTCCACCATCATCAATAACGCTCCATCGAAAGTCAAGATCATTCTCATCAGGTAACATGCAGAGGTTTTGTTTCTGATTGGCATTTGCATTTCTCCCAATCAGGATATTAGAATCTGATGGTCAGCTCAGGAATGATATCAGATTTTTTCTTTCTTTTTTACTAGAAATAAATCAGCCCAGGGTCCAGTGGCACAGGGATCGACAACAGAGTGCGAGGATACAGTGGACTCCCAGGCAGACTCTACAGAGTGTGGAGGATTACCGAGAGACATCCAGCACATCATCTTACCTCAGGTGCATTTCCTTCACTTCTTCTTGACATTAACAATTTTCTGGCCTCCAGCTTCACATATCTCGAGAGCTCAAAGAAACCAGTTGGCTTATAGCAGACTCCCAAATCGTTGTAAATTTGATAGTGAATACAGATGTTGTATACAGCACTGCTATAAGCTTTGCTAACTCAAGAGTTTGTTTCTTTCTTACAGGACTACGTAGGTCTTGGTCTTTGCCTGGCAGAGGGGGAGGCCAGGGACGGGGCGGTGGTCAGGTCCCTGGTCCAGGACGGCACTGTCAGTAAGGTGTGACATCACAAGTAGTATAATCATCATATATCTATATCTCAATCATTTCAGTGTTTTTTGTTAATTTCAAAACTATAGTGTGTGTAAATTACCATCATCGCTTACTTATTTATTATGAATATGCAAAAGTGTGTGATTGGATTATTATAAGACAAAAATATCTGTTGGAAAAAAGTTGTGGCGTAAAAAGTGCAATGTTCTAAGATTTAGCTGAGCCTAAGTATAAAGTAGCATAAAATGGGTATTCTCACGCAAATAATAAGTAGTTGAGTGAATGTAGTTTTGGAGTGAATGTCCAAAATACATTCCAGAATGTTCTTTTTTTAAGTCAAAGATTATTATCAATATATTCTGGATATTCTGCTTTGTATCATGATATTGTCAGCCTACTGTACAACACACACTTTTGAGTTATTCCAGCAGCATACAGATTGCACAATATTTCATCATTCTGCATCCATGCTTCCTCAATGGCCTGACTAAACTTTGCCAATCAGAAAAAAGATGGAGTAATAATCACCTCCTTACTGTACAACAGACGGTATACAGCTGTTAGCTATGATGTGAAGTTCTGTAGTCTCTTGGTATTCCTGGTTTCTAATATTAATATTACATTAATATAAACATTAGTAACCTTGAGATAATGGTTGCCGTGTTTTAAAGTGATGTCGTCATGCACTAATAGGCTTTCATGTAGGGCCCCAGGCAACAGTAATTCAGATAGTTTCCAGAGGGTGTGTTTGATTTTTAATCTAACTTCCTCTCCATTGTTCTGCTGCAGATACTTTTATACATTTCTTTACTTGTATTCCATTTTTTATTCATGATGCTGTCTGGGTGCAGGATGGCAGGATAAAGGTTGGAGACAGAATCATTGCAGTGGGTGATGAACCTGTGGCAGGACTGTCAGTGGACAAGGTACACAAACACACACACACACACACACACACACACACACACACACACACACACACACACACACAATCACACACACAAGGTCGAGCTGATTTAATGATTTATGACTTGCTTGTCTTCTCTGTATTCAGGTGTCCAATTTGATTCTCAAACATTGGGTCACTGTCAAACTCTCCATCAGCTGCTCCAAGAGTCTCTCCCCCTCTCTTTCTCTTCCTCCCCAGTCATCTAATTCCCCTGCCTCTCTCTCCCCCGATCCTCTCCCTATTTCCTTCTCTTCATCACTCAACTCTATGCAGACCTCTCCTACCGGACGTTCTGATTGGCCAATATCAGCTCCCACAACTTCTGACCCCATGAGCTGCCCTGTAATGTCTGGCACGGAGACCACCATAGAGTTTTGTAAAGGAAATGTAGGCCTTGGTCTCAGCATCGTAGGAGGATGCGACACTCTGCTGGTGAGAACAGCCATTTCAAAGTGATTCATTCAACACATGTGAATCTTTATTGACACACTCGATGCATCTGTACAGGAATTGTCAGTCTTAGTTTGGTGTGAAATGCAATGCTTCAATGCTTATTTAATGTCGCTCTATTGGTTTATCTGTAGTAAATATTTGTCTGGTTTTCCACTAGGGGGCAGTAATACTCCATGAAGTAAATTATGGAGGAGCCGCACAGAGAGATGGAAGGCTGCAGGCCGGAGACCAGATACTAGAGGTATTATGGCACACACAAAGAAACCATTTCCTATTCATTTGACTGAATCATTAACCGTTTTTTAGTGTCTGTCTCAAGCTGTAGTGATTAGATGATATTCCATTTAATTGACTATCTTTGTATCATTTTGTTGTCAACTTCTGATATCAATATAACATATTAATCATGTGGTTCAGTTTATTTAAGACAACGCACATAAGTTAACATTTCTGTGAATGTACCAGGTTAAGAATGACCAACATAAAACACTATGATGCTGAAATAAAGCCAACAGGAAGTGGGAAAACATTGATTGGTTGAAGCAAAGACATGTTTATAGAATGATTGCCTTCAATAAAGCCATCAATTCTGATAAGACACTGTTTGACATTATTTGTAAAATCTGCTTTCTGTGTTGTACAAATAAAGCTACTTCTTACCTCCTGCCTCTCTCTCACACCTTTCAGGTAAATGGTATAGACCTGCGACAGGCCACTCACGATGAGGCCATTGGCGTGCTGCGGCTCACCACACAGCGTGTCCGCCTGTGTGTCTTCAGACACCAGGAGGCGTACAGCGAGGAGGACCTGTGGGATGTCTTCAGCCTGGAGCTGAGGACTCGTCCTGGAGAGGGGCTAGGGTTCACCACAGTGGGAAAGAGGTACTGTATGTATTCTTAATACTGTTTAACAAACCAGGAACATTTAAGCGATTTATTTTGATTTATTTTTTTAGATTTTTCTCCAATTTTTCTTTTGGAAAGCAATGTGGTTATTTTTACATTTTAATTAATTGACGCACCTCTGATAGAAAAACAATAATAACCCTTATAGTTGTATGATAATGAAATGTCTCTGGTGACAGCAATACTTTCACTGTAGACTCCCATTTACAAATATCAGAGAAGGAGATTATTTGCTGACTTCTAATGCCTTTACCCAGGTAGAGGTCAGGGACCCTGTAGCATCAGGGAACATTATTGTAAAAAAGATAGATACCTAATTCAATAAATCAATAATAAATCAAGTGTGACGTTATGCGAAACAGCAGGATTACAGGTCACATAATTCAGTCTGCAAGTGTGGAACAGACGCAGTGTTTGACCTCTGTTTTCTCTCAACAGTAATGACACGGGCATCTTTGTGTCAGATATCATCAGAGGAGGCATAGCAGATTCAGATGGCAGGTTGTTGCTAGGGGACCAGATTCTGTCAATCAATGGGGAGGATGTCCGTGCAGCATCGCAGGAACATGCACACAAGCTTCTACAGGTCTGACACATTCACACTGTCACATACAAATTCAAAGAAGAGAGTTATAGATTTGCTTTTAGAGATTCACCATCTTATGTGAGATGTGTCACTTTTCTCTCAGAGTTGCAGTGAAGCGATGCACCTGGAAGTGGCTCGTTTTAAAGCGGGGCTGCAGTACTCACAGCAGAGCCTGGTAAGCTGTTTCCTGTGGCTCTCTGTGTCTGTGTTATTACACTATTACTTTCTTGCACTATTTTAACAGTAGCACTTTGTGAACCTAGGAGTACTATAAGTTGTGTTTTACCCAGAGTGAAGACTCTGACTGTTCAACCCTGACCCCCCCAAGTGGATGTGATGCTTCCCTCGGCCACCAGAGGGAGACAGATCATAAGACAGGGAGCTATTGTGAGTTGTACTTGTGCTCTGAAAGCATATCTTTATTAACTCTTGTGCTTCAATCACAATTTACTTTGAGTGGAAACAATACTGTTAAAATCTCTAGGCCTAATGTGTTATGATACACCTCCAACAGCCTTTCAAGACTTTCCTGAGAGAAGAACAATAATAATACAAAAGGTAAGGCACAAAATCTTGAAATAAAATGGTTTTCTTTGTAAGTGCCCAAGACAATTGGAGACCTTTCGATGTTCATCTATATATTTTTTCAAGGTTGGTATATCATTCTTAAACCCGTGATCTTTTGATATTTTACTTCAAATGAGAAACTCGAAATCAAAGATATAAATAGCCTTACTGCTTATCTAATGTGCAGTCTGCCATGTGATTCACTGATATTGTCTATTGAGGTCTAAAATGTGTTTGTGTGTGTGTGTGCGTGTGTGTGCGTGTGTGTGTGTGTGTGTGTGTGTGTGTGTGTGTGTGTGTGTGTGTGTGTGTGTGTGTGTGTGTGTGTGTGTGTGTGTGTGTGTGTGTGTGTGTGTGTGTGCGTGTGTGTGTGTGTGTGTGTGTGTATGTGTAGGGTCCATGTCACACACAATCACAC